AATTATCATTTCATTGGATATGACTTGACCATCCTTAAGAGCATTCTCAGGCCGAATTCGTCAATATTAAAACCTTTTTTGATGTGCCGACAGATCCCCGTCCAGCATCAGCCCGCAGTGGCTGCCCCGCCCCAAGCTCGGGACTGCATTCAGGAGTTGGACCTGAACAATGTCAGTCACGCTGTACCAGACAGACGGCAGGCAGAGAAGGCGGCCACGCTGGCCCGCGTGTGGGTGCATGGGGTGAGTCCGGCTGCTGGTGCGCCTTGAGGCCCTCTGTTGTCTCCCTCCACCTCCCTTCGTGTCGCTGATGCCGTCTGTCTGCAGGTGCGGCGGATGTTCTGGGTGTCGTGCAACGCTGACCCTGCCTGGGTCCTGGACGTGCTGCGGAGAGCCGCCCCGACGCTGGAGGAGCTTCACATTAAGAATCCCCGCGAGCAGCACCTTCTGGCTGTGCACGCCATGCGTGGACTGCGGCGGGTGGCCTTGCGGTGTCACGACGGTGCCCTGGACGCACAGCCCCCCGCGCTGCCCGCCCTGCCACGAGGCGGCCTCAAGTGGCTGCGTGTAGTTGGACTCCCCCGGGCCACCCTGGTCTCCCTGCTGCAGGCCCACAGTGCCTCGCTGGACGTGCTGTGGCTTCACGTCGGCACTCCGGGGGGCGGGCGGTGGCCTGTAGGATGCGACGACCTGGATGCCCTGCTGGGTCAGTGCGGCCTCCGCGTGTCTAGGGTCGTGCTGTGGAGGGGGCACTTCGCCAGCCACTTCGAGTCAGACTGCCCTGCACAGGTGTCCGCGGTGCGGCGCGTGCTGCCGGCCGCCACGGTGCAGTGCGAAAAGTGTGACGAGGTTAAATGGGAAAAGTTTTAGGCACTGCGTGAGCACGGCGCGCGCGGGAGGGGCACAGGCAGGGCACGGCAGCCGGCGAGACCCTCCAGTGTGTCGTGCGGCGGGCTGCCCGTTGGGGGAAGCGGTGCACAGTGCAGTGGCCTCGCAGAGAGTACTCTACGTGCCTCAAGCCCTTCAAGATTTGCTGGTTTCTGAGCGTTTGAAGTTGAACTGCCGCGCACAATCTGTCCTTACATTTCGTTTGCTGTCACATAATAGACTATTCTAGTCGTGGCTGAGTGAAGAACAAGAAGAATCACAAAAGACGCAATTTAGGGCATTTAAAGTGAATATATTTGATGAAATATGTTGCATTTACTAGAAAATATTTGAATTAACTTCTACCAAGCAAGGGGACTTAAACATTTGAAGTAAAAGTGCAAAAAAAGTACACTTTTGTGATTCTTCTTGTTCTTCACTCAGCCACGACTAGAATAGTCTATTGTTTTCTGTCCTTAAAAAAGGCTTGGAAGAAAAGACAGGAATGCACAAGTGCCTTGGCTCGCGCGCTCCGGACTTGTAAAATCCCGTCTTATCAGTCTTTGTGTTGGATGGATTTATTGAGTTGAATTAGTTGTGCAGTGATTTTCCAAATATGCTGTGTCAGTTTCCACTGAAAGATGTCTTTAGTTTGACCGCGAGACATTTGTTCGTTGCAATTCGTTTCCTTTCATTTTTGGAAGAATGAAATGTTAGTGTGAAAGCTTTCGTTTTGTATACGAGGTTCCACTTTATCATAGTGTAGTTTTACGTTGTTGGTTTTTCCGTGTGTTCTCTTTGATATCGAATACACGGTTTAATATAACTGCTGACTTTCCCGCGAAGATGCCATTGTTCTTCTTCGGATGAGTAAACTGTTCCATTTATTTTTCACAACTGTTACTGTTAATTTCTTGAACTGTTAAGGAAAGTAAATTGTTTCCACGGCTATTAATTACTTACTTTCCACTATTTTTTAAACTTTTGCGTGTAGCAAACCTTCCTTAACTTGCATCCCTTTCAATAAATATTGTCGAAACAGCATATCCGTTTTATTGTCCAGTGACTTGGCCAAACAGCCTCTTACATAATATAATAACGTGAATTTAAATTTTTCGTAGTTGTTTGCCCCTTGTACCGTGCTCCACCCCTCAGCTGACTATCTACTAAATGCATGGGAGAATTTCTCCTCTACACGAAGCTAATTGGAGACTTCAAGAGTAGTGGTTCGCTTGAATGAAAGGTACAACTCCGCTTCCGTTTCACCAGTGTGCCTGAGCGTGGTACACACAGCGCCCTTTCTCGTCAATCCGGTTGGAGTCGCCGCTCTTGCGGCACAGGAAGCCACCGCACAGTGGGCCAGAAGACCGGTGGAGGCGGCCAAAACTCTTGACGCGTTTTGAGCTCCAGAGTCGCTAAATGGGACTCGAACCGAACGTGTGACCCCACCAATGAATTGCTCTCCGAACGAGGAATCCATTGGTGGGGTCACACGTTCGGTTCGAGTCCTGTTTAGCGACTCTGGAGCTCAAAACACGTCGAGAATTTTGGCCACCTCCACTGGTCTTCTGGCCCACTGTGCACCGCAGCAGTTTCCTCGCCAGCCGTTTCTCGCCATCGCACGGCCCGTCCTCCGCCACGCAAGGCACGTGGAACGAGACGTCACAGTGTCACAGCAGTTACTACACTGCGAGAAAGAAGTACAGAAAAAGTACGGAACATGTCTGGTGAACACACGAAATGTTTATGTAGAATTTTGTACGCGCCACTGGCACGACTTTGTGCATGGGAAATTGGCATAATATTATGCGTGAAGCGTAAATTTAGGCGAATTGCTGCACAATTCTATGCACACGCAGGTTTAAAATCGTGCATCACGACGCACAAAATTCCACATAAACATTTGGTGTGAATAATTTGCCCGGACCGTCCGTACCTGTCCAACTGCGGAACTTCTGTACTTCTTTTCCGTACCCGATTACATACGATTGGAACCGGGACCATACTTTCGTATATATTTGTCGGTACACACACTAAATGTTTATGTGCAATTTTGTACTTGGTGATGCATGATTATAAACCTGTGTACAATCGTGCATAAAATTGTGCGTGAATTTGCATAAATTTATGCATCTTTACGAATGATATTATGCAAATTCCACCTGTGCACAAAATCGTGCAAGTTGCACGGACAATTTTTTTTTGTTATAACAAGCTACTTATGTTTGAGAAGCCCGAAATAAAGTGCACCTTCAGTACACATCGTGAAACAGTGCGCCACTTCTCTGCTAATAAATCCGAAAGCACATACTTCTGACAGCCCATTGACAGTCAGTTTTAAGCGAGATGAACCCTTACCATTTCCATTCGGCATAGCATCTGTGGTTGCTGACATGCTGATAGCAAGAGCGAACAAAACCCAAAGGACTCGGCGCATCTTGGTCAGAGACGGAATCCTAAAAGAAGAGTCACTGTGAGAATCAAGTTGACACTTATTGCTCCATATGTGATAATTGAAAATTGAATACGGATACGTGCACTCCAAAAAGCCTTCGAAGAAAATTAAGGCAAAGTAGAATCGCTTCCTTGTACGATTCGACTCCCCATAGTGAGATTACGTTTCCCTCAGTTAACATCTCAAGCCTAGAGCAGAAGATCCCAGTCCGTCAGTCTAAGTTTGGGCACAGTGGCTCAGGGCGTAAAGGCAGCGGCTGCCTCGGATGAGGACCTAGGTTCGCGTCCCACGGAAGAAAATATTTTCCTTAGTTGACCGCTTAATTGCTGAAGCGGTCTAAGTTTGGGCAGAACGTGTGTTGGCTAGGCTATCAGGTGGCTCAGTGAGCAGAGGTGTCTGCCGCGCTGAGAGAGACTGGGGTTTGAGTCACAACATTTTTCTCAGCCAGCTTGTTTATACATCTTAAGGGGAGGTTCTGGTGAAAATGCTATTTTCTCTTAAATAGGTCCCACTGTGAAAATTAGTTAAAAATTTGATGTCTTACCAAGTAATTAATAAAAATTTTCACTGGGGACTCACATTCTGTGCCCTGAACCCAGTCGAAGAGTCTTTTTGAGCCTATTTTGGGTGTAACTTTAAAAATCTTCTTGCGCATACTATTTTGTCGTAAAAGGTTGGCCTTGACATTTTTCACTTCTTCGATTCATTTTTAAAAAATGTCGGCATGCACAACTCAAACTGTAAATTACATTTTCATTCGCAAGCTTTCTAACCAAGCATTTCACTATAATTGATCAAAAATGTACAAAATTGACAAATTTTAGGGACTTTTCAGCTTAAAAAGCTTACAGTTAATAATATAATGGGAATTTTGAGCTATGCATGCCGGAATTTTTTGAAAATGAATCGAAGAAGTGAAAAATGTCAAGGTCAACCTTTTACGACAAAATAGTATGCGCAAGGAGATTTTTTAAGATAGAGCCAAAATAGGCTCAAAAAGACTCTTCGGCTGGGTTCAGAGCCTGGCATGTGCCTTCAAAAGTCAAATTTTAGTCTCCTAAAAGAAAGATTTTATATTCCGAACAAATTGTGACAGTGGAATCCATTTGGAAAATAGCAAGATTTTCACCAGAACCTCCCCTTAAGCCCGGTACCACCACTCTAAGATTAATCGCATCACATCGCAGTGGCTGGTTGGCCGAGATGGTAGAGGAGTCGACCGGCGGGAAAAGATCCTGGGTTCGACTCCCAGGTGAGCGAATCTTTTCTTCTGTTTACTTCTCAAACCCGGTGTGTACCATCACTCTAAGATTGATCGATCCTCTTCGCAGTGGGTCGGTGGCCGCGATGGTAGAGGAGTCGGCCAGCGGGAAGAAGTCCTGGGTTCGAATCCCAGCCGTATGAATGTTTTCCTCTGTTTACTTCTCAAACCCGCTACCATCACTCTAAGATTGATCGAGTCAACCTGCAGTGGCTCGGTGGTCGAGATGGTAGAGGAGTCTGCGGGCGGGCGGAAGTCCTGGGTTCGAATCCCAGCCGAACGAATCTTTTCCTCTGTTTACTTCTCAAACCCGGTACCATCACTCTAAGACAGGACGCGCTAGGTAGGTGTGTTGTCGTAGCTCAGGTGGCAGAGCGATGGGCCGTGGAGGCTGGTTGGAGGCCATGCGGCAGCACACGATTCCCGTTGGACCTGGTTCGCCACCAGCCAGGTCAGGTTGCTGACCCTTTATGATTGCCTTACTCCACTCTCCTTCGGGGAGGGGGGTAAGGGGGGAGGGGCCGACGGCGGGAACTCTTTTGCATCCGAGTGTCCGCTAGCACAGAGAAGCGCGCCACCGAGGTAGGCCACCCATTAGACACGCGTGGGTGTTGGGGCACGGGCAGAGGGAGAGAGGGAGAGGGAGCGAGAGAGTCGCGTCCCCTACGCGTCTCTTACATACGGGCGCGTCCCTTGTCTCTTGTTTGGACGCGACACTTATTATAGGGAGGAGAGACGCGTCTCGCCACTGGGGAGGGCGGGACGCGCCGTCAAGGTAGGCCACCCACCTGGCACGCTGCTGCAAAAGCGCCGCGGCGAAAAAAAGAAGCCCACACCTAGCCGGGACTTGAACCCGCGTACTTCTAACCACAGCCGACACATCAGCCGACTGAGCCACCGAGGCCCGAATTGATTGACGTCCGTCCAATCTTAGAGTGATGGTACCGCATTCAAGCAGTCAACTGAAGAAAATGTTTCTTCATCCGGGTTTCGAACCCAGCTACTTCTCTCCACGGCCAACCTCTCAGCCCACTAAGCCACCGAAGCTCCTGTTAATGACTGCCGGTCTAATCTTAGAGTGATGGTACCGCATTCAAGCAGTCAACTGAGGAAAATGTTCCTGCACCTAGGATTCGAATCCGGGTGCTCTCGCGGGGCGTCCGCTTCCTCTGCGCTCTCAGCCACCGAGATATTGGTAGGGGGTTCGCCGATGTTGATACTGGTGGCACGGGATTCAAAGTTCAAGTGAGGAAAACGTTTCTATGCCTGGGATTTGAACCAGTTACCTCTCTCGGGGCGGCCGCTACCTCAGCGGGCTGAGCCACCAAACCACACGATCCTTCCACGCCCAACCTCAGGCCTGATTCTTTGGGTTCGAAACTCAGGAAAAGTTTGGAGTCCACGGGGCTCGAACCCGCGCTCTCCTCATGGCAGCCGACTCCTTTGCCCACTTTTTTTTTTTGAAAACATCAATATATTTCATTAACAATAATATAAAAATAATAAATAAAATAAATACATATTGTAAGCTCAGGTACTTCATTTCTTCTTGTTACTATCTTGATGTTTGAACATGATTGAGAAACGGTTAAAAAACTTGAAGTGCTCGGTAAAATGGACGCCACATGATGCTTCTCTGCTCCAGGACAGCGGCGGCGGCGAGGGGCTTATTACCACCGAAGTGGGTTCGGCCCCCCGTGCCCTACGCCAACCTGAAACAGAGAAAACATCATGTGAGCGTCCAGAATTTAAAAACATTTACAGGCCAATAAATAAAAGTAGCGGTTAAAAAGAATACGGTAAAAGCTGGATACATAAAAGAGCACTATTAAAACACATTGAAATAAAAGGGTAAATAACAATACTTAAAAAGGCGGAACACTTAACTAGTCTAGTCCTTCTCTGTGGCCCATTTCTTGTTACTCGTCACCTCACACCACGAAGGCAGCCAGCCCGCGCTGCAGCGCCGCCGGGCAGGCGGGGCGCGCCAGGGCCTTGGCCTTGGCCTTGATGACGGAGCGCGCGAAGCTGGCGGCGTCCGTCCTCGCCGCGGTGACCACCTGGTGGACATGGTGACCCGCGACCCACGCCGCCGTCGCGTGCCGGTTGGGGTCGTCCGGCGCGAAGGCGGGCTGCAGCAGCGTCCTGGGCGTGGCCGTGCTGCCCAACAGCCTGGTCAGGGTGGCCCTGGTCCAACGCCACGCGTCCCGGATCGCGCTGCACCTGGCCAGGCGGTGCGCGAGCGTGTCCGGCGCGGCGCACCTCGGGCATGTCCTGGTGTCGGAGCGGCCGATGCGC